CCAGGCACGTCATCACAGACCTAATACCTGCCGATAACACTGCCCAGGCACGTCATCACAGACCTAATACCTGCTTACAGGGCTTGTTTCCCTCCTGACTGTGCTCAGAAAGCCAAGAGGCAGAGAGCGCACCAGTTTCCGGCCAAACAGAGAAGCGGGCATCCGGTGACCGAAGACGAGATGAATATCGCTGTTACCTGCTTGGCTGCACTTGTCCTGCTGGCCCTCGCAACCTCTGACGGAGCTGCCCTCTACCTGCCCGACTCTCCTGAGCTCCGTCGGCTGATGAGCCGGTACCATGAGGAGATGGAGCTGAACCACACGGCGCCCAGCCGGTCCCGCCGGGCCATCCCCTGGTCTGACCGCGAGGAGATTCTCAAGCTGCACAACAAGCTACGAGGGGAGGTGTACCCCACTGCCTCCAACATGGAGTACATGGTGAGGGGGCTGGGGTCAAAGGTTAACGCCCAAGATGCAGGCCCGTCACCTACTCCTGCGATATGGTGGGGAAGGAGCCTTTAGGCTTTGGCTAACGTCTAAAGATTAGTCAGTCCTGACCGCAAGTACTGATGCAGGCATTGAGAGCACCTGCACTACTGCCAGCATGGTGTCATTGCTTGATTAATACAGGCTTTAGATAACATGTTGGATTTTGTTCTGACCTTAATGAAACAGACATGCTGGGTTTGTGACCTTCATCCTTTGACAGAAATTGGAAAATATGAGCTTCTGTCCAAACCACTGGCAGCTGTGTTGAGTGGTGTCTTACCTGGGGGGGGGGGAGGATTAAATGAGTTGCCTACTAAAGGCTGCTGACAGACGGTAGAGGAACCAGTGACGGGTGTTGGGGAGGGGGAGGGGGTTGGGTTGGGCAATGTGCTGGGTAGGGGTGTGGTGGGGTCGGGGAGGCAGAGTGGTCTGTCTATGTCGGGGTTGAGGGTGGGGGGAAATAGGGAAGCCACAGGTTGGCGTGCTGCCAGGTCCTAGTGAACAAGACGGGGTTTCAGAAGGGCAGACCAGGACACGTTCAGGGTGGAGGGGGTGTCCAGGGAGGGGGGGGCATAGGGGGACCACCAAAGGCCTGGAAATTTACTGAGAGGCCTTTGGTGCCATGCCGGACGTGGCACCCCCAGGTCGGGGGGGGGTGCCTTCGTGTGGATGTGACGGGGGCCCTAAAAGACCGAGTTTGCTGTCGATTTTCCTTTCCACAGGTAAAATGTATTAAAATGGCCTGTCTTATTTAACCCCCGAGGTTAATAGTTTGCCAGTGATGCCTGAGTCTGTATGCGTCACTGTGGTCAGTGTCTGGCTTGTTTTGATTTTCCTTTAGACTGGTTTCATGAGTGGGGGGGGGGGGCGGTCAGGGGGGTCAGAGTCCTTGAAAGTGTGCGATGGAACAGGGTATAGGGGGCACCATGAAAGGTTTAAAATAGCGCAGTGTTTGGGGCTAATTCATACGCACGCCTGCTCACCACTGCTGCCTTGTGGAAGGTGTTTTGTGGCTGGGGTGTGTGTTTCACGGTGGGGAGGGGTCAGTTTCACAGAGGCCTGCTTTCCTTTCAGGTGTGGGATGAGGAGCTGGAGCGTTCAGCCACATACTGGGCGGAGGAGTGCATCTGGGACCACGGCCCCCAGGACCTGCTCATGTCCATAGGCCAGAACCTGGCGGTCCACTGGGGCCGGTGAGCCGAAGGATCGCCGTGGTTACCGGCACATGCACAAGCAGGCCGAGTGCTGAGATTCAACACGACTGACCAATGGCACTCTGCCTGTGTAGACGGCACACAGCACACAAAGGACATTGTCCAATAAACACACAGATGGCAGGGCAGATGAAAGCGAGGCCCCGCCCCCGACGCTGAGCCCGTAGCGAGCGGCACAGTGGCCCTTTGTCAGCACTTTCTTTCCCAGCAGGTGATTTTCTGGGACTCCCTGCTCACTCCCACAATCCCCCTCTCTTCTGGCACCAAAGGGCACTCCACGCATTTCCCCTCTGCCCCACTGAGGTGACAGTGTGCGGAATAAAGTAAAGGGTCTTAGGACCCCTTGGCATGTTCGGTCCCCCCCCCCCCCATTCTGCCAGTAGCTGGGTGTCCTTATCTGGGGGGGGCGAGGACAGTGTTCAAATAGAGGGGGATCTCCCTTAAAATGACCATCTTACAATATGTAATGCCACCTCCTCCCGGTCCACGCCACTCCCCCCCCGGCCTCCAACACAATTCAAACACTGGGGGCAAAACTTTCTGCTAAACCCAGTTTTATTAGCATGGGCTAAAGAGCTGCTTTGGAAGGGAGCCAAAGAGGTGGCAGGCTTTCGGATATCACCTTCCACCCCTGGCACCTGCAAGGTCCCCAGGGGCTTAACCTGTGTCCCCGTTGGCAGGTACCGCTCCCCGGCCTACCACGTGCAGGCCTGGTACGACGAGGTGAAGGACTACACCTACCCGTACCCCCACGAGTGTAACCCCTGGTGTCCTGAGCGCTGCTCCGGGCCGATGTGCACTCACTACACCCAGGTGAGGCTGCAGGCTCAAACGTGCTGTATGTGTGACTCCGCAGATTAGGGTGCCGAGCCTAGGATCAGTAGGTTGCTGGTTCAAAACCTAGGATTGGCAGACTGATGTCACTGTTGGGCCCTTGAGAAAGGCCCTTACCCCTGGCTGCTCTAGTGACAGGCTGGCCCTGCTGTCTCAATCGTAAATCATTTCAGATAACGGCGTCTGTTAAATAAATAAACGTAACTAATGGGAAGATCACTGAGAAAGTGCAGTGCTTTGCTGGGAGACCTGAAGCTCTGGCATCTGGCAGATTCCTGAAATGAGAGAGCTCTCCGTCAGGGTCGGTCTGTGAGGCGTTGGCTACAGGGCCCCCCGGCCAGCGCAACCCCCGCAAACCCCACACAGCTCACGTGTTTCCCATTCGTCTTGAACATTTAATGCGAAGCACGTGCAATTTGCATGCCTGCAGGCGCAGGTATTGCGGCCTTGGTCCAAAATCAACATGAGGGACATGCGAATCAAGGATACATTGCTAGTCCCGGTATCGGCATACCGATTTTTTAATTATTATTTTTTTTCCCCCAAACCCAGCCCGGACCCTTAACTAACAGCGATGGGCTGGAAATCTGCAGATTGTAGCAGAGACAAGGGCAAGTTATCCAAACAGCTACCAGTAAAAGGCTTCCTGTATGAAACTAGGGGGGGCTGGCTAACGGGATGTCCTGGGGGGGCCAGCGTTCGAGTATTTAAAATGCCCAGTGGACCTCGTCTTTTACACCAGGTCACTGAGAACACGGAATGTACCATGCCCCCCCCCCCCCCCCCCCCAAAAAAAAATCAGGTCAGCCTTCTAGGGACCAACCCCAGGACTGCAGCCCATTTTTGTGGTCAGTCTGGATGCAGCCGTTACTTCCTTTCATTAAAACGGAGCCGGGCAGAGATCCAGCTGGGCTGGCCAGGTCCACCGTTTGCATCACCTTCTGGATGAGTGGATTGTAACCTTCCCTGGTCATGGATGGCTGCTGTTTGATCACCACAGGCCCAGCTGACTCAGGTCCAGGCTGCCTGGTGTAGCAGCTAAGGGAGGTTCCCCCCCCCCCACACACACATACACATCCCTGACTGGAAAGAGATGTAAACATACAGAGGAAGGTGAGGGAGTAAGAATCGCCCAATTCAGCAGCTCTTTCAATGATCTGCTGCTGGGCTCCTACACCTGGTCGTCTGGCCCAGCTCCTGCCGAAGTCTCCACTGATATCTGCTGCTCACATAGCTCCCTGCGTAGGTAGTGGACTTGCCAGTCGGGCCAAATCTGAACCTATGGTTGTTGCCAAGCAAGGCACTTAAACTGGATATTCTGCCGTTAGACACCCAGCTGTTTCACTGGGTATGAGGCCAGCGTTACCAGCTGCGTGAGCTGCTTTGAATAAATGTCTGCTAAGCAGCCACATGATGGGGGACAAAGGTGTAACATTAACCCTGTCTGTGCTGGACGTTAACCCCTTCTGTGCTGGACTCTCATCAGCATGTGTGGAGGAGCCAGTAGCTGTGAAGGATTATGGGAAGGTGGGAGGGAAGGGCAGGGTTCAGTTCAGTTTATTTTTATATAGCGCAGTTTATTTTTATATAGCGCCTTTCACAATACAGTCGCTCCGAGGTGTTTTGCATGAGTGCTTTTATGCATTAATACTTCATTCATACACAATGATACAAAAACAGGAGAGAGAAAGAATGAAGGAAATAAGCCAGATGACAATGGAAGAGAGGAGCCAAAAACTTCCAAGTAGGGGAAAAAAACCCTGGGGGGGCCAAAGGTCCCCCAGGCCTGCAAACAATATAAAAAAAAGAAAGAATTGTAGCCTATCCTTATTTTTCCACTGCCAGATTGCAGTGAGTCTAGATTATACCATTAGATCATCCAAAGATGGAACGCATTGAGCTGTGTGCGAGACCATAAATGTGGAGCATTTGACATCTAAAGCTAATGATTTCCCCAATCTTTTCTTGCAGCTGGTTTGGGCTACTACCAGCCGGGTTGGCTGTGCCGTCCACATCTGCCCCGCCATGAACGTCTGGGGTGAGATCTGGGAAAATGCTGTGTACCTGGTCTGCAACTACTCACCCAAGTAAGTCACATGACTCTGCTCGGCCTATCAAGGCCAGGATGCAACGCTCCTGCAAGTGGTGGTCAATCCAGACATTTGCATGAGACCCCGAAGTTTAGGGGCCCCCTGATGGCCATAAAGGGTTATTGACTCGATACTCAATTGGGCCCCTGACTTCTGTGTCACACGTGTGCTTTTTACACACTTGGAAATGGAAGAGTTTCTTCATCGCAGGCCGGCCGTCATTTTAATGGGAAGTGTCTGTTTATGGCGCTAACTTTGTCATGACACACTGAGGTCACACTTTCCAGAGGGAAAAAAAGAGAGGAAAGGTTTTAAAAAAGGATGAGGATGGGGAAAAAACAGCACAGAATGACCAGGTCACTCTCCTTCTGATGGTCGTAATAAAGTAATTACTAGCAGGATGTTGGCAGCTCCTTTCGCCGGCTTCAGCAGATTTTTGCGCTGCTCAGATCACTAACAATACCTGGTTTGTCTTTTGGGACGATTGCTGAAGGGCTTCTTGGATCGGGTACAGTGCTTGGGAAGTGAGTCAAGTCCTATCGTGTTGTGTTGTTCAGGGGCAATTGGATCGGAGAGGCTCCCTATCAACACGGACGCCCCTGCTCCCAGTGCCCCCCCAGTTATGGAGGTGTCTGTCGGGATAATCTCTGCTACAAAGGTGAGCTCTCTGACACACTTCATCGAGGATTCTAAAGCTTTATTTTCATTGAGTACTTGCTTATGTACCTCCCTAAAGACTCAAACAACATATGACGAAAAATAATAATAAGTAACAAATGGCATACACCATATACAAAGATATATATAATGCACAATATACAATAACATACAGGCAGGACAACAATCCAATCAACATCAGATGTAGAACTGGGATCTCTAGGGATTGGCTGTGACTGTGAATCGAGTGACGCCTCTGATTGATTCTTGATTGGCAAACTCCTTCCTCACAGAGGATGCCCAAGTGCCGCAGCAGCCAGAGACGGAGGACATGAACGAGGTGGAGAGGGCTCAGGTGCCGGTCCAAGACCGAACCACGACCACGAAGCCAGCGCCCAGACCTCAGCCCAAGCCTTCCATGCCAAAGAAGACTCCCTCATCCAAATCTGCCAGCACCAGCTACTTGGGTGAGTGTAGGGAACACAAGGGTGAGGAAGACTGACATAGGGCTTGTGGGTGGGCCACTTTACCGTTTACTGGACCTCATACAAATGTATCCTTCCTCTGTGGTGAATAGTGCCGGTTCTGGTTTACTTATAGATTCTTTTGCTTTCGTTTGCAGCACAGAAAATCAAGTGTGAGACCAAGATGCGTGATAAATGCAGAGGGGCAACCTGTAACAGGTGCTTTATCAAACAAACCCTCCCCGACGCAATGGATCTGGCCATGACGCCATTAATCTCCATTAATACCATCAATCATCCCGGTTTGTCTCGGCAGGTACCAGTGTCCAGCCAACTGCCTACGCAGCAAAGCCAAAGTCTGGGGGACGCTCTTCTACGACGTGGTGAGTCGCGACGGCCCGTCCGCCGTGGGAACGAGAGAACTGGCAGCGCCGTTCGCCTCGACAATCCTTTCTTGTGTATTTTTGTTCCTGCTCTCCAGCAATCGAGTATCTGCCGCGCCGCCATTCATTCTGGCGCCATCGACAACAACGGGGGCCTGGTGGACATCACCAGGAAGGACAACCTGCCCTTCTTTGTCAAGGCCACGAAGAATGAGATAGAGAGCCTCAGGTACTCGTCTATTGCAGGGCATTACGCTGAATGGCAGTGCAGGCAACAAGTAGGAAAAGAGCAATGGAACAATATGAAGAATGTGGTCCACTTGCATCATGACAGACTGCATATCTTCTGTGTCTCTTTGCAGCAAATACAAACCAGGCAATGCATTTGTGGTTGCAAGAGTGGAAAGTAAGTAATACCCTTTAGGTTCCATAGACAGTGAATGCATGTTTCCTTTAGAAATGAGGCCCAAGCCATGAAATGCAGGTTGCATGTGTGGTCTGGAAGCTCTTCTGCAACCATAAGCCTGCAGAAGGAGTCTTGTTGTTGTATCTTTGGTTGTATCTTCTGTACCTTGTTGTAATATTCAGTTACTCCCTTTAGATGTGTTGCATGAAATGGTAAATTTTAAACAACGTCAAATTGGGTGGATAACCTGAACAAACCTCTTTGGTTTTTATCTGCAGGACAATCGATTGACTGTTATGCCACGGTGGCTGAGATATGTCCCTTCGGAAAGACGGCCGCTAACTGCCCAAGGTAAATGGATTCACAAACCGGCGTATCTATGCAACCAGGCGCACGGTACCCCGCGGAAAACCACCGTCAGTTTGAACAGGAGGAATGTGCTTTGTAATCACAAAAAAACATCTGTAGATGTGAAGCCAGTGCTTCAAACCTCGATTAGCACGACTAGCACTTTCACAGATGTGCCCGCTAAGGAGAACAGTCTGGTGGCTTCTGGAATTTGTAGGTTCGGGTTCTAGATATCTTGATACCTGGCCTTCAGAGTCAAGGAGGGGATTTGCTTGTGTACCTGTATGTAGTGATCTGATGTTATGCTGGGAAATGGGGCTGTATCAATGTGCTTTGGCTGGGTTTTGTGTTGTCTCGATAAGAGAATTCTGGGAATTCTGTTTGGTATTTCTCCATCATCCCTGCATCTGTTCTCAGGGTCCTCTGCCCTGACGGCTGCAAGGACCAGCCATCTTACTGGGCACCAGTGCTTGGGAACAACATATATTTAGATGTGAGTAACCCCCCCACCATACACACACACACACACACACACACACACAAAGATTTTTTGTGAGCAACCGACAAGATGTGTTGGGTCCCTTAAAAAGCACTGCTGTTTTGTGGTGGGGGTCCCTTTGGCCAGTGGCTCCCCCCCCCCCCCCCCACTGTGGATGGCGTTCCTACAGCCTGGGGATCCGCCAGCAGGGATCCTGCGCTCCCCATCTCCGTCTTGTGGACTGGCGAACCAGATGTTTTACTCCAAACAAAAGCTGAGCTATCATCCAGCTGGTTCAGGGTTAGGCCAGTAAAAAAAACTTAATAATGTGAATTATGTTCAACAAATGTTTCTACTAAACACGTAAGTAGGTAGCAATGGTAACAGTAACAAGAAACAGGAACATATACAGTAAAATCCCGTCATAGTGGACTCTCTTATAACGGAGTATCGTCAATAACGGACGAAGTCCGCTGGTCCTGGCCGTGCGCCTTTAAGAACATGCAGAATATAGCGGACTCACATATAACGGAATTTCACTTATAACGGACAAACAATTTGGGCCCCAGGGCCGCTTTTAGCTGTAGTTTTGTTCGGCTATAACGGACAGGCAGGCTCCGCCTACAAGGCGCGTGGCGTGCCGGTGATATCCAGCGCAGATACGTAGTCGGGATTATTAATAGTCGCGCATCTGCTCAGGTGAAGTTGGATTACTACATGTACAATATAATAATCTGTACCACAAGTGTGTCTGCTGGGGTGTGGCATGAGTAAATGGTGTCCTGTAGTTGTGTTCTGGGCACACAGCAACTGGATATAACGGACTCTGGATATAACGGACTGCCTTTTGCCAGGTCCCTTGAAGTCGGTTATAACTGGATTGTACTGTACATGGATTATTAGGTTTAGGCAGAATGGAGCAGGAGAAGCTCAACCAACACTTTTGAAGGCCGTTATCCATGTCAATTTCCAAATGATGGTATCTCACAGAAACTCTGGTGGAGTTAAAATTGGGAGTTAAAATTCAAAGGCAGGCCCTGATAAATTCTTCCGGTATTTCATAGCTGTTTATTACTCAGTGGTTTTGATTCTGATTCTTATATAGCATAAAATCTTCCTTACTGTCCATGGAAACTCATTAGCTATAGTCAGGCCCTGACCACTATATTCCTGATAGACCATTCAGTTATTCGGTGTCTGCGGGAGGGGGGAGGTTGTTACACGGAAGCTAATGTAGGGAAGATAACCTCAGTTCCCCGCCCTCAGAGCTCCAGTATCTGCCGAGCAGCTATCCATGCTGGAGCGATCAAAGCCAGCGGGGGCTATGTGGACATCCTGGCCCTGGCGAATAGGAAAAGCTACATGGGAACGCTGAAGAACGGAATCCAGTCAGAGAGGTACCTTCTACTCCCTGTTTACTCCTGTATGCCTTTATGAAGCAATTAGCTCTTGCTGTCGGGATCCGGACAGCGCGGTTTAGACCACACACCCTCTCTCTGCTTCCCTGCCCGTCTGGCTCTCCTTGATAAAGAAATGCAATACGATCGGCCCAGTTCTGGAAAAATATAAAGCAGATCCTACAAACTCAATTAAAATCTCCTTTGCAGGACCTCGTCCTCACCTCGGTCAGTGTATGATTATGAGTTTTTTTACAACAGCGAGTCAGTAACGGACGAACCCACGAGTGTCCATAAACGTCAAGCCGACCACCCATGCGGGCAGACCCCTATTAACTGCGAAATAATTGCAGTCCTTCTGTTCCCGTGTGGATGGAAACTCTCGAAGTCTGACTCAGCAAGTCCCATTATGTCAAAGATAATGCGAACAGGGCAGCCCTGTCTAAATGTCTTCTGGGGTTACTTTAATAATGAATTAATAACAAACAAGCAAGCCAAGTAAAGCAGGCACAATTGTTGGAATGGTCAGTCACGTCATGTGCAGCCATAAAAACTGAAGACTTAACTCTAACTTGCCATATTCCAAGTAACAGTTGTATACCAACTGCATTATGGGTCAAGTTTGATTCCTAATCAATCTCTTTGATTATTTCTACTGCAATAAAGGGGGAGGTGTTAACAGAGGTAGGCTTTCTGATCTGTTCTAGATTAATAGCTTAGTGTTTGTCTTTCCCTTGAAATGGCCTTCAAGTAATGTTACTGAACCTGGGAAAAAGGCTTCTTATCCGTTCTTAATTGTTTCATATTTGATTATTCTGGCTTCCCGACTTGTCCCAGCGGTTAAACAAACACTGTGGAATGAGTATGACGTGGAGAGATTTCTGTTGCACTGCCAGGACAGTGCCCTGCCAGGACCCTATATGTGACTAACTCCACTGTCAGATTTACGAAGGAGAGAAGCTCTTACGAGGTCTTTTCCCATCCTGTCTTTCCAGTAAGAGGAATACGGAGGGGAATTCTTTCCGCGTCTTTGCTGTGAGGGAGTAGGTCATCGTTCCCACTAGACCTCCTGGTGGTCCAAGCTGACACGGGATGGGGAAGACCAAGAGGGGGACACTATGGAGACCTCTGGAGTGTGCATCAAGCTTGGAAGATGCTGAACTCCTTGGTGGGCCTCCAGAACTTCATTTAATTTCATTTCTCAGTTGACACTCAAAACATGGATTTACTACTTGGGGGGATATTATTTCTTGTGTGTCTAAACTTTTGTTGTTGTTTTTTTTTTTTCGTGTCAACACACAACAAATTCAGAATGGTGTACAGTATCAATGACGATTTCAACAGCAGTGCTGGTTTTGTTCCGTCTTTACCTGTAGGTTTAAAAGAGATCTAGTTATCTTTATTATAATTATTATTTTTATTTGTTATTCTTGTTGTTGTTTTTTTTATAATGCATTTGCAATGGAAAAGAAAATGATTGATCGTAGTACACAGGCATGTATATGGATCACTCATTTAATCATTTTGTACAGTTTTTTGATTTGTATTGTGTGTTATGTACCAATATGTGTATTTTTCATGTATTGGTATATTTGATTAGCTGTTGTATGTTTCCTTCTAAGGGTCGATGTGTATTGTCATGTGTTTTCTGTCGTTGCCCATTTCGGTCTGCTCTCTGGCAGGGGAGGGGCTGGAGATGCCTGGCCCCCTTCACGATGGCTGTATGTGGTCATACCTTTTTAGTACAAGGTACCAAACAGCCGCCACTCCCCCAGATGAGTCCGACCCAGCGAGTGCACATTAGTGCTGTCCTTGGAGAAACCAGCGCAGAATCCTTCTGAGAACAAAATTTACATAACTTGATATTTACTATGCAGATGGATATGATTATTATTATTATTATTATTATTATTGTTATTGTTATTGAAACCTCTGCCTTCTTTCTGTTTCGGTCCTGGCCAGTGTTCTGTTTTGTTTAATTTAGCAATTTACCCGTCATCACACACACCATCTCCTCATTCTGCGGCCAGTCCATAGCTGAGGGACTGTGTTCTTACACAACTCATGGCATAGTTTACATGGAGACAGCTGAATGTTTGTAAACTCATCAATACCCTTTTTTAAGGGGGGGGGTGGATGGATAAATGAAAATTTATACTATATATATATATATATATATATATATTAGCTGAAAAGGCCTTTTATAAACAATGTGAGTAACAGTTCTTGCCCTTCTGAATGGTGTGGCTCATTGCTTCCCAACCCGGTCCTTGGAACCCCACAGACAGTTCACGTTTTTGCTCCCTCCCAGCTACCTGCTAGGCAGTCCACATTTTTGCTCCCTTGGGAACTGGGAGGGAGCAAAAACAGGGACTGGCTTGCGGGTCCCAAAGGACCGGATTGAGAAACACTGTTGTAGCAGTATATGCTCAATGTGGATGTTTAAACCGCTTAAACACAGCCACATAATAGGAAGGTACTTTGCCAAGAGGTACGTGATGTGTGGGAAGACTTCGCTTAGGAAGGAGTGCCTTGTCAGACCCTTACAACCATCTTAATGCTTCATTGCTTCGACATCTTGGCTGGTTAGACTTAAAGGGAGAAGAGGAACAATTTTGATTTTCGTTTTGTAGCTGAAGCAGTCCAGAAAGACTTGCTATTGTCTCCAAATTGTGTTTCTCTCCCTCCTTGGCCTGGCCCCAAGCTCACAGGTGGTGCCTTATGACTAGTTTTCCCTCGTTAGTAGTCATCTAGCTGCTCTGTTTTTGGCTACCTCAGTTCTGTCGCCGCATCCCGTGTGGCTACATTCGAAAGCCTGAGGGAAACCATATTCATTCATGTGTGTAGTGAGAATAATGTTGCGTAAATAGTTCAGATTCACCTTCCTACAGAGTAAGGTGTGTGTCGTCAGAGTAACTTACGGAAATGTTTGTGAAGTGTGAGGATTTTATAAAGGCAGTGGAGTTTTTCATACTTTTTTTTGCACAATTTAAAAATAAAGAACAAAAAAGAAATATATTGACCTCCTGTCTTTTGTCAATTACATCCAATATTTGTCTAATAAAATTATGAGAAGGACAAACTCACTCTATGCTTAGTAGCCGTTCGCCTGGATCCTGAAGATTCTTGGTTTTGTTTGTCTCAGAACCTTAATTAGATCAACTAATTGTAGGTGTGTGACCACTTAGCACTCTCTGTTTGGGGAATGTAGAACAGCTGAGGTCTTCTGAGCTGCGTGTGGCTTCCTACTTCTGCTCTGAGCTTCACAATGGTGGAAATGAAGCCCTGGTGATGCTGGTTGACCTTTGCTGTGAGCTGCACAGATGCCTCTGCAGAACGACATGATGAGGAAGAGTACCAGCTCCCAAAATGCCTCAATGTTTCAGTTTTTTCCCACAGCTCTGAGAAGAGAGGGGATCCAAAGACTCACAGAGGTAATCAGAACGTCCTAAACCTGCAATATCCTTCCAAGTCTTGCTCTAATTGTTTATTGCAATATGTGGAAAATTTACATTGTGATAATGACACTTTGGTGACTTTAATATTAAGTAACAAACGTTCTTTACTAGGCTTTTAAGTAGGCTACCCTTCCATCCATCTTCAGGCTGCTTCTCCTGGTTAGGGGTGTGGTAGCACTGTACAGATCAGGCCAGATAGTTCCTTTGAAGGCTGAAGACTCTGAATCATGGTGGGGGCTCTTCAGTCCCAAGCCAGATGTTAGATATAATGAATGGACATTGACCAGTAAACTGCAAACCTCGTCCAGTGACTAAGTGGTGATTCGCTGATATCTTTGCCCTTAACACTAGTGTATCTAAATTCCGCTGCATAAAATTAGATGACACAAATTATACTACGTACTACAGTATAACTACAAAGCCAACCTAGGGTCCTCTGGTATCAAGTGCACTTATAAACATCCTTGTTTTAAAACAAGGTGTTTATGGGCAAATTAATGCTTATGCAGAAGTTCAAACTTCACAATACAAACAACTGAAGGTTTATATCCAGGAAGCCATTCATCCCAATCAAATCCCTCATCGTTCCTCTTGTATGCATCAAAGTTACTCATTCAGATCGCAAGGTCTACTGGAGAAACCACCTTGAACAATCACTTTCTCTAGGTGAGTTGGGTACTGGGTCATTGTAGCTCTAGTCCTGGCAGAGTTTGTAGCTTTTATGAGGGTCCTCCTTGGGTTGAAGCTTGTCTGGCATCCCCTAAATGAGAACCTTCGAGGGGTAGAATAGATCCTATGTTTCTGTTTCGTGATCCAAATTTCCTAATTGTAGTCAAGATCTTTATTTTTATCTCTTTGAGAAGAATGGCTTGCTGATCACGGCTGGTGTAATTTCAAATGAGGCCGTGTGAGTATAAAGAAACAAATGTTAACCAAAGTTGCTGAAACTGCAATGAATCGAGACCGTTTGTGCTTTTGGGATTTATTATCGTTAATTCGCTGTAGTCGTGTGCTTCAAATCCAAAACCTGATTGGTGTTTAATAGCCTGTGACTGCCCACCAAAGCGTTCCCAGCAGATACTTCAGTTCCATTTGCGGTAAATGCCATACATTAAAATGAGCTTACGTTGTAACCCAAGGAAAGAAATTACTATTTCGAGATTGCTAGCTATTAATGTCAAAGAACTGGTTATTATTGATGTTTATGTATTGTCATGCAATATGGATAATAAATAAAAACACAGAACAAAGACCAGAGGAATGAAAAGCAGAAAAAGTTCTTTGCTATGCATGCGGTGTTGGGTTGAGGTAACCAGAGAGCAATGTTTACTTTGTTTAATGAGCTCCTGCCAACCATCTCTGTTATTCAGGGCAAGAGCTGCTTTGTGAGGACCACGGTCTACAAGAAGGGGCTTTGTGCTTTATGTAAGCCACACCAGGAGCGGCATTAATGACTGTCAGCATTCTCCGATCTGAGGTATGAAGTACTTCCTATTCCCC